GAATTGTATTAGTCTAGTTCCTTTGGAAATAATTTATATTGTTGTTTTACCGAAGTTTATGAATTTAGTAAACATATTTAAAACTCAGTTTATTAATTAAACTAAAAGGTAAATGTTATTCCTAGTAAGTGGAAGTAGTTGTGCTTTTTTCATATTATACCCAATTGTAACATGCTTCCTTTCTGGCACTTTAAAAACTTAAAATCTGTCAATAGTTTTTAATAGGGCAAAAATAGGCATTCTGAAAACTTAAATTATCTGGCAAGTGTGCAGTATAAGTTGAAACAGAACAGTCTACAGTTTTATTTGTGACAATGGCTAATGCCAAAGTCATGCAAGAAAATCATTTTCCGAACATTTCTGCCTAACGGAATAATTAAAATTTGTGAACGAATTTTAGAATCAGCGGCTAAATTAATACCTACGAGTTTTCAAGAGTTAAAACAGTAATTATAATAGTTTTCAATAGCACAAATAGTTCTGAAGTTCTTAGAAATTTGACTGGGTGTTGTTTGACAAGGTCGGGCATAAACATAATTTTAGTAAAAAATGTACTAGGTAAAAATGTATTTAGTAAAAAATGTATTAAGACAAAAATGTATTATTAGTGAGTTCAAAAAGAAAATTGAAAAACGTAATAACAAAATCCAACATTGTTACGAAATATAAAAAAATTATAATATTTTAGATTTTTTTAATACATACTACATTTCCATTAAATAAAGCATTGTTTTTATAATTTAATACTTTAACGTTAAAAAATGTTATTTTATAAATAGAAAATAATTAGATATTAAAATATTACTTACTTTTTTTCAAAAAAGATGAAATCTTCTTAAACCAAAGTTTCATAAATAAGGAATCTCAATCTATGCGCATTAGTTCAGGTCTCCGCGATTAAAAAGAGAAACAATGTTTTTTTCTTTACTTCTTTATGGTTACTTTTTGGAGGAGTAGCAAAAACCAAAATAAGTCAAAGTATCTTTGTGTCAATAAGACATCAAAGATACAGTTAATTTATTATTTAAACAAAACTTTTTTCTAAGAGGAAAAAAAGCATGTCCCCTTCCAAAAAAAAAAAAAAAAAAAAAAAAAAAAAAAAAAAAAAAAAAAAAAAAAACTCCATCCCTTGCTGTGATAGCAGTATTCATATGGGCATTTATTCATTCCAACACCCAAAACTTAATGGTACTATTGAAGATTATTTCTTAGAATTTCATCAAACATTTTGGCGTGAAACTTCAAAATTTAACAAAGAAGGACGTTTTAGTGTTTGTAGAAGTATGCCGTCGTAACTATCATTCACATTCAGATTGCCACAAAGATAAAGATTCAAGTGTCAAGATAAGATTTAGGTGTTAAAATAGCCTGTTCACGGATGTCAAAATAATTAAAACCTTCACACATTTGAAGGTTGGGTGAATTATTTTTCTTAAAATCGTATACATTCATTATACTTGGTTTACAGAATTTCAAAGCGCACTTTTTACCATTCTGAAACTTTTTCTTGAGATGAAAACCACCGGTATTCAAAACCTTTGCTATTCATGTCATCCTTTATCACAGGCAATTTTCAGAAGATGAATAATGACTATTCCGGACACACAATTCTGGAGAACACTCCACTCACAATGATAGTTGCAGTAAAAAAAAGATCAAAAGAGCTGTCTTTTCCCTTTCAGGAATGACAATTTTAAAAGGTCAAGTTATTTAAACACGAAGTTGCATATATATATGCACATTAATTTTACAAATTAAAAAAACATAAGCATTTTTTTTAAATTTTTTTTTAGAAAGCTTACCGAATTTTAGAAAAAAGTAACGATTTCATTCGATATTTCCGTTAATAATACTTGTACTTTTTCACTAAAAAAGTTACGAAAGTACAAGTAAAAGTACTAAATTAAAAAAGTAACGAAGTACAAGTAAAAGTACGTAATTTTACTTGTACCGGCAGTACAAGTAACGAAAGTAAAAGTACTGCCATATATGTTGGTGATACAATTTGGTAGTCGTGGTAAAATTTCACAATTTTATTAAATTTTATTTTGATGCCTTAAGACATAGCACGAAAACCATTTATTCGGTTAGATTAACTTTTTTCTTTTGCATTTTATACTATATGAAATTTAATAAAAACTATAATTTTAAAAACTATAATTTTCTTTAAACCATTTTCATACGAACGGAAAAATTGACAAATGAATAGTTTGAATACCATATATTTTAGCTCCAGTAATCAAAGTTATGTTTTTTTAATATAAATGTCACTACTACACAATAAGATGATTTTAATAGAATTTTCTTTTCCAAATAGAGTGAAATAAAATATTTTTCTCTCTATAATTCCTATTTATTAAAATTGAGGATATAGCATTCAAAAAGTTTCTTCTGTGTAAAGCAACCCTTTAAAATAATAAGCTTGAGAATAAGAGTAATAACAATAATAATCATAAGCTTTATCTAATAAAAATAACTAAAATGCATATATATTTACGTAAATTCTGTATCATTTTTTTTTAATTTTCAGGCTCATGTAAAAATGCTGATGAAGATTCTGATTCCAAATGGTTTGACTGATATTAATAAGTGAATTATTATCATTGCAGAAGCTATTTGTTACTTTTATAGGAGAAGCATGCAAATAAAAAAAATTAATATGTATCATGATATAAAATAAAACTAAATTTAAAGTCTCTGTGATTCATTTTTTTCCGAAAATAGTATAATTTATTTTAATACTTTAATAGTTTAATTTGCTTAGATTAGTTTAAAAGTTTTGAAATTCATATCCAAGAGAAGCTAAAAAATTATTTGAATTCCTAATTTAATAATTGTGTGCACAGTCTGTCTAATTTCACCAATCTGTCTAATAATTTCATATTAAAACGTGATAATTCGTCTCAATTTCTAGTAATTTGTTTAATAACAAATACAGTAAATTTTTAAGTTTGAAATAATTTCAAAATCTAGCTCGTTTAAATTTCTATAAAATATCAGATAAAAAATTTTATAATTTAGATTCAATTTTCGATATGTTTTTCTCTTTTTTTACACTAAAGACAATAAAAAAATATTAAGGTTAAAATAGTTTTAAAATGTAACTGGCTCTATCTCCCAAGTAAAAATCATGTAATCCTTTTCATTATTTTGATATTGAACATATTTACAAGGTATTACATATACAAGATTTGTGTTTGAAACAAAATTTTATGCAGTACAATGTTAGCGCAAATATTACAGCAGAAATTAGTGATTAAAAAATAAATTTTGAAATTGCATAATTACCGAGAAAAGTATGGCTCTCAATTTTAAAAATAAATTATGGAAAAAATGTGAGTTGATTTTTTTTGTGTTTAGTTCAGTTTAAATATTTCGATTTTTCTTTTTTTCAACTTACGATCTAAGAATTACAAAATTCAATAAAAATATAAAATAAATAAATCTAACGATTGACAGATTTCCAGTTTAGGCTGTTTTATGCATGAAGTAAGTAATCTGAATGAAAATGAAGGCGGAATGTAATAAATATTATTTTTTAATAATATTTATTACATTATTAAATAATTTTTTTAACAATAAAGTTAAAAATAATAATATTTTAACTGTAAATACTTAACGCTTGGTAATGATTTTGTAGTAGTTATCAATAAAATATTATTTTATAATATGCAATAAAATTAGATAATTGAAGGTAACTTTATTAAGCTACCTTAGAGCAGACCATAAAATATTTTTTTTAATTATGTATACTTTTCTCTTTTGTACTTGTTTCTAAATGTGTTGAATAAGAAATATAATTTTTTTCAATAGTAACCGTCAAATCACCAAGCCGAAAAATTAATAAATGAAAAGTTTAAATTCTGTCAGAGTTTGGTTTTAGTATCCAGAGTTAGGCTGTTTTTTTTAAAATACCATCACCTTACAGTGCAATAGTTTTATCAGTATTTATTTTTCTTGAACGTAATAATAATAAGTAATAATTAACTGGAGGTCTATATGATTGTCCTGTAACCATGATTTATGACGTGACATTTATGAAATAGCCTGCAAAATATATAATCTTTCTTACATTCTAAAATGTAAAAGTGATAAGCAATTTGTTTTTAGTCAGAATCTTTGTCAATATTTTACATATACAAGATTTGTGTTTGAAACAAAATTTTATGCAGTACAATGTTAGCGCAAATATTACAGCAGAAATTAGTGATTAAAAAATTAATTTTCAAATTTCATAAATACCGAGCAAAGTACGGCTCTCAATTTTAAAAATAAATTATGGAAAAAATGTGAGTTGATTTTTTTTGTGTTTAGTTCAGTTTNTAAAAAATAATCTCTTGAAGCTTTTTTCGCTAAATTCAACTAATAATGCCTTAATAATTTGAAGAAATGAAAATGTATAAAATATCTACATATACTGCAGATGCTCTAAAAATTCATTTCAATTGCTTAATGATACTTACAATTCTATTCATTTTTGAAATATTGGATGTCATTCAATTGTAATATTAATGCTTTTCGTGATCCTGCAATTGTTGGACATTTTAAAACTCCTCTTTCTTGCATAACATTTTAATTTCGTTACGAGCTTTTATTTTCAAAATTTAACAGTAACATGCCTGATTAAACAACAAATAATGGCAGAATAAAAGAAAGTGCATTAACCACGCAGATCGCGTTACCCGATTAAAGACTTTAGAGATTACTCAAAGATTTGTAATAATTATCGTGAGTACAAAATGATGTATTTTTAATTGAATTAGTAATAATAATTATAACACTGTTGTACTAGCACACGTTATTTTATTTTATACCTATTCTGTGAGACTAATAAAAAAATTAACAGTTCATGTTAGCACAACTCTATCGTATAAACGACCTTAATATAACTAATGCTTAACCTTTGTTATGTAGATTGCAAAAACATTTTGAATTTAAAGAAATAGACCTTGCAAACATTTTAATACTTGAATAATTGAATTAAAATTGAAAGTATAATAAAATATTTATATGAAATTATAATAAATCGAAAAATAAAAAATCACATAAAAGAAGTGATGTAAACATGTGCACTGTGATATTTTTCATTAAATTATGGTATAAAGTTCCATATCTTTTGATGCATCATACATAAATTCTTGCTTTGCAGTAAAATATTATACCATCATTTCTACAGTAACATTTATTTAATTACTTTGATTCGGTGATTTTACAGTAATTATTACTGTAAAAATTTCGTTATTCCAGACTTTTTGTTTCGTAATATGTTGCCGTAAAAAGTACTTGCTTCCTAAATGTTGGTGCTTTTTTTATCGTACTTTAGTCCGGAATTTTGTGTAGTATGAGAAAAAAGAAACTTTTCCCCCTTTTACCCTTTATCTAGTGGGATCGTCTAAAATGGAATGAGTATACAATTAATTTTGCCAAAAGAAAAACTAAATTTTAGTAATAACGTATTTAAATTACATGCTTATAATAGAAAAAATTAATTCAAATAGTTTACTCTATAAATACAGCAAAATAATTTTAAAATCATACTTAAAATTATATAATTATTAAGTAACTCGCAAAAGCTCTAACTAATGGAAAAAATGTAAATTTTCATTCTATTTTTAATCAGGATTAAACTGTCTCTCAGTGGACTGATCGTTAAGACACGGTTCCTGACAGATCACCGAAATCAAGCGGTCAGTGTGCTGGTGGGTGACCACTTGGATTAGTCTGTGTAGGGACCGAGAGTGTGTGGTTTTGGTCCTTCTTAAACTGTTCGATCTTAAAGTGCTCGACTTCGTGTGCAGGTGCCATCCCCTCTGCAGAAGATCAAAATTGTGATGGCATGTCTTCGGATCATCCTCAGGCATGTTTCCCTGACAGACGCCAATAGCCAACTGTGCAGTGCTAGTGCGACATAAATAAACTACAACAACAGGATCGAATTATTTAAAGGAAAACCTTAAAATAATTCGAGATAAATATTACACACAAATAATAAAAAACATGTAAAAAAATTGCAGAATTTGTTTGTTATTGCAATTCAGATATGCTTAAGATATTTTCATAATAATTTATTTCGTCTAGAATAGTAAACGTACAGTGATACACATTTTTGTAATAAATATGCATATTTTTCGTTACATAAAATGCATATTACTGCTGAAAAGAAGAAAAAAACTATGAAATTATTCAATGATCCAGTTATAGTAAAAGTGTAAAAAAAATTAAAATTCCTTATTTAATTTGTTCTTGAATCGATTAAAGGACAACTTCGAATTTTCAATTAACGCAGGTGAAAAAGAAATGTTGCAAATGCATTAAGATAATGTTTTAAGTTTGCTTAGGTGCAATTTTGTGTAATATACGGTACTACACAATTTTTGTGTTCCACAATTTGTCAAATACACCATTTTTACTCATTTTTGTGTTATTATAAGCAACTGTGATCATATTATTCTTTAAAACATAATAAACATATATTCTACACTTTTATTTTATCTTAACAATAACATGCACGATTTTTAAACAAAATGTATATAATCATAAAAAAAAATATTCCCTCACTTTAAAACTATAGTTTCCTTTTCTCCTAATACTTTTAAGGAAAAGCAGCTTTATACATTCAGATTAAACCAGTTGAGAATCTTAGTTGCAAAATATGCTTGTAAAAACTAATTTGTAAACGTAAGAAACTCAACATTTAGATTATTTATTGCTTATGTATGTTCCAGAGACTTCAGTATATAAAAAAAATATTTACGAAAACTTAATTATTCCGTTGCTTTTTGCGTTATTGAAACTGCTAATATGAAAAGTAAATGAGTATGAAAACGGACCACCTTGAATAACTTTTGATCTAATTTTTGAATTTTCACGTTCTAGGACTCAATTTTAATGGCTCGAGAGTCTGACCTCAAATATGGTTATTAATAAGTGCAAACGATATTTTAAGTTACGAAAACAGACACAAAAACGTACTTTCTTTGAACAAACATATTTTTTTTCCAATGGATTTGGGTTTCTGACCCCCAAAATATAAGGGGTAACCGAAATTTGGGAAATTTGGTGCCCATAGTTTGATCAGGAGAGCGAGCCAATGTTTGGACCCCTCAATCTTAATTTTACTTTTTGGGTATTTTTCCATATCAGGAGGTTATTTTAAGCGAACTGAAAAATTGTTATGCAGAACTATAAAATTATTTTTTCCAAAGGTAATGCAAGAAACTATTCAACCAATATCGCCCAAATTATGTATTTTGCCATGTAAAATTACATGCTTTAAAGTGGCGTATAAAATTGTATACCTTACAAATCAAAACTTTTTCGACTATTATTTAATAAAATAAAATAATAATAAAAAATAATATATATTTACTAAAATTTACTTTTTGCATCGAATTAAGCATGGAAAAAAATAATTTTATGTTTGTGAGCAAAATATCTTTAATTCGCTTCAAAAGTTCTCCAGATTTGGTGAAAAACACAAAATATTCATTCAATTTGCCTCAAATCATATACGAATCTGCAATTTATTTCAGCCACATTGTTTTCTTTATTAGAGGAAGCAAATCCTTTAACAAAATCCCACAGTTGACATTTTATAGGGAGTGCGAACTAAGTTCATATTTTCTATCTTCAATCAAACTAATGGCAGTCGAGAAACATGTAGCACAGCAGAGCTCTGAAAATACTGTCTTGATTATATCAATTTCAATAATTATATTACCAGTAAACAATTTAGAATTATTAATATTGTTCTTTTGAAGGCTCAATTCTCTCGCACTCATAGTTGAAGGAGTAACTATATCCGAAGAAACAACATTTTCTTTCCTAAATCTGCTTCCATAAAACTTTTGTTTACGTGTCTATGAGGAAGTTCTGGCCATTTGAACTTCAAAAAAAGTAAATGAAACAATTAAGAAAAATCAACTTGAGAGAAAAATATAAAAGAAACGGTAAACGTAACAAATTAACAAAAAAAAATAATATAATTACCGAAATTCAACAAAAAATAATGATAATAATAAAGCATAAGAATAAGAGCGCTATCAAAATTAAACAACCCAGAATGAAATGTTTACAGCTAGTCAAGCTAGATTTGCTCGTATAAAATATTGTACAAAAGAAGAAATATGGTTGTCAGGTTCTTTTCTTAAATTTTAGAAACTTATCTTATGTCTTAGGCAGAAATTCGAAAACGAAACTAGATAAAAAGTTTACTTCCTGTTTTGATTTCATATTTCCGGCTGCTCAAAACCTAAATAGTTGTTTTTTTTTTAAATCATTATAACTTCTGCTCTATTTGACGTAGAAATTAAATTAAAACAGTTTTGGAAAGAGAAAGGTTCATAGTTTTATTTTATATGAAAAATATGTTGTAGCAAAAATTGGCTAAAATAAAGTAGTCGTATACATTAAGGGTCAAGACTTTAGAGCCCTCTCCTGACCAATATTTTGGGGATCATAAATCCGAATCCGTCGAAAAAAAGACATATTTAATCAAATAATGCTTTTGTGTGTGATTTTGTAACTTAATATATCATCTGTACTAATTAATTAGTTTATTCGAGATCATGCCTTCGAACCAATATATTACTAAAATAGTAGATTTTTCTTCCAACTATGATATTACAACCTATACAACCTACTTTAAAAGCTCTGGAAAATGGGAATTATCAGTAAACAAACGATCAAGGCATAATAAATAATCAGAAGTAACTGTAAGAGTAAAAAAGTAAATACAAAAAGTGACTACATGCACCGTAAAGAATTCTACTTTACCACAACTACAAAAATGATGTCACCTAGGCATCTATGTTTTTTTCACTGTATTAGAAAAATATAAGACATAATAGTAGAGCCTCAATTCCGTCGCTTTATGAAAACTTTACACGGATGATAATGATTAGTCATCCTATTAAGGCTTAATTCATAAAGTCAGCTTTTATTTCAAAGTCATGAATATTGAATAACATGAATAGTTTGAAATAAAATGACTTTTATTTCAAAGTCAAGTTTGAACACGTCCTTTTCAACTTATTTTAGAACAAACAAGTCTCCAAATAATTTCTAATTATCAACAAACATTATAACACAAATGAGACAAAATAGAAATAAAAATTCCCATAAATTACAAACAACAATCTAAATAATGCCTTCATTTTCAATTAAATGTACCACAGTATTTAAAATTTAAAATAAAAACAATTAAAAGAGGAGTTTTCGAGAAATATGTTTTACACATAAAACTTATTTATTTAAAAATGTATCTGAAAGAAAAACAGAAAGATATGACAATAATATGAATTAATTACGGTAATTAATTTATTATTACAAGTCAAAAAGAAATCTGGTAAAATTACCGTCGCGAATGCTAATGACATTCTGGGAATAAAAAAAACCAAAATTATGGTACTTAGATCCTTCATTTGGTAGTTTATCCGTAACGGTATACCAGATATTCTTGTTTTCAATGTTATAGTTCTTATTTCCGTACTTTTATTAAAAAATAAAAAAACTGAAAAGTAATTCCAAAAGAATAAATGATTTTTATGTCAAGCTTTAAGGTATTATGATAAAATTATTAAATTTTATCGCATTTACTAAATTTTAAAGAATATTATAAGATCTTATTTCTTGCTAATCTTCTAAAATAATTACCAAAGCGTTTCGGTGAAAAATTCCAAAAATGGTAAATTGTGCTGTATTCTGGTTGTTTTGACCATACATTTCGTACTATATTTATATGTATATTTCAGTGTAAAAGTATCAATTTTTCCACTTTTTTGATGAATTTTGAGATTAAAGATGAAAATTATTAAAAATTTAAAAATCCATTTGTTTTCTTTGAATTTCTAAAAAAAAAAGAAAAGAAAAAGTAAAAGAAAAACTGATTTTTAGTTTAAAAACTTTATTTTGGTTATTTAAAAATGTCACCCAAATTAAGCAATATTTTTATAGAATCAATCGTATAGATATAATAATTATCGTTTCAATATAATCGTTGTTTTATACAAACTAGTTAGTAAAATAGTTAGTAAACTAGTTAGTAAACTGAAGAATAAAAAATCTATATTTCAAAACTTTGATTCATGTGTCACTTATTTCGTCACTGAGATTTTTATCTTTCACTTAAAATTCCGGTTTTTGTGCGTTCAATAATGATGTACTAATGATATTCAACTTTTGATCAGCTGTGTTTATACTCGATTTCTTAATGAGTGTTCAGCGTAAGTCTGATTACTTAAAAGATCGCGCTATTAATATTCTCATATCAATCAGAATACGTTTAAAACTTCACCTGTAAGGTAAGAAACTTTTTTTTTCTATGAATCTCTAAAACTTTCAATAAAACATTATTCCATTTTAAATATGATTACATTAACTTCATATCAGTTTCAAATAGTGAATTTAAAATCAAGAATAGTTTATTTTGTGGTCAATATTAATACCTTTTTTCGCTTCAACTCTAAACCTTTCCATAAAATTTTATTCTAAATATTTGCACACTAGTTTTATAAGGATGTTAATTGATCAGGTATTTAAAATCTAGTTGTTAGACTATTTTGTGGTCAGTTTTTTGCAAAATTTTTTCTTTCTCTCTGGAAAAAATAATTAATCATCTATACTTTTCGAAGTATAGAAACTTGAAAGACTTCTTTACTATCAAAATTTTATCAAAAGAAGTTCAATAGATTAAGAACAAACAGCTTTTGTATTATTTTGTCTTTAAAGATCGGTATAAAATATTTTTAACCACTATTTTGAGTTAGACAACATACAATATATTTATTATTACTCATTTTGATCCTTGCGAATTAAATCTATTATACTGTAAGAAATCTCTCTGAATAAATGGTTAAATAACAAATTATTTAATCATTATTTTTCCATATTGGAATAAAATAGTGAAAACACGATAAATAAGATGGCATTCAAACCGTTATCTCTGAGAAAAAATTTTCAGATTTCTGATCCCAAAATTATAGGGGGTAGCTGCAATCTGGGAAATATGTTCCCAATAGTTTAATCTGGAGAGCACTTCAAACTCTGGACCCCTTAATGTTAATTTTACTTTTTGCGTTTTCCGCTGTATCTCGAGAATTTTTTAAAAGAATTGAAAATTTTTTGCACACAATCAGAAAATTCTTTTATCCTAAGATAATCCCATACAAAAAATAACTTTTAGAAAATATTTATAATCTTTTTATTATTTTATTTAAGAATAGTTGAAAAAAATTTAAATTGTAAGATGTAAAATTTTTTGCATCATTTTGAAAAATATCAGAAATTATGCTGAAAAATGGAAAATTTGAGTAAAATTGTTCGAGTAGTTCCTGAGAAATCAAATTTTAAGTATCTGGCATTTTAAAATACTCCTCGAGACATTAGGATTGAGTACTAGAAAGTGAAAATGCGATCATTAGATCAAAAGTTATTCAGGGTAATCCAACAGAAGGAGGTTTGAGTTCCCGCGTTGACACTACAATATTTCCTCCATTCTCTTCAGCTTATGAAGAGCTGCTAGTGTCCTTCACTCTCCCATGACCATTATCTAACGAAAGACCTAGCTCCAATGTACAGATGAATTCCTTTCTACGGTTTTGAAACAATGCTAGTGATAAATGGTCAAAAAGTCTTATAGTCTTGTATTCATGGTTTCATTTCCATACTACCTGTAAGCGGTTTAAAAACAGCAAAGGTAAAAGTTTTCTTTCCTGTAAACTTACCGGTAATTAGAGGGATAGAGAGCTGCCGATTAATTTGACGTACTTTTAGGATAAAAATTTTTTCAGTGTATCTTAAATTGACAAGGGTCCTCTTCCTGTATTGAAAGGGATGGAGGAAATAATGTGGCGTCAATGATGAGACTTGAACTGGGTTTTGTTAGTCATGAGATTGGTGGATTACCCCTCTCGGCTATAATATATACCCACTTGCAAGGAACAAAATGGTTTCATTAGGGTTGCCCAGTTAATTTGATAAATTTCTAGTCGTTTAACCATAATAGGTGAAGGCAGTTAATAAACTGGTTTCCTCACAGTTAACAATTTGAATACCATCTTATTCATGGTTGTTTGACAGTTTTGTTTGCATAGAATAAAAAAAACAATTGAATGAATTGTTATTTAACCATTTTCTCCGAGAAATTTCCAACAGTGTAACCAATTTCTTAGATCCAGGACATACATATATCACAAGATTATAAATAGAAAAATATTTCAAACAATTCCTTCACTTAAAACACTAAATGTCTTCAATGATTTAACTTTTCTTTAAAAAGCTGCTAGTTTAAAAATATTTTAACTCATTTATTATTAGATTATTATAAGCAATGTTTAAATCATTACCTTAATTAATCACAAAGAAATCTGTTCTAACTGTATAATGTAAATCGCAGAATACATGATCCTCGATTTAGTTACATTAAATATCATGTGAAGATATTATGAATTTATTCTTAAAACTATTGAATGCAACTAAATTGGTTGGACTAAATTACTACCTGTTAAATAAAATATTTTTATGTTAATATTTCCTGGAATAGAATAATGATTTGAAAAACTGTTTAGGGTTTCTTTGCATTGATTTTAAAATCAGTGATCTGGATTTTGCTATGCGTGGAAACGCAATTAAAATCTAAATACACTATGTAAAAATGCAACTGACGATTTTAATTGTAATAGTACTGAAATAAACTCGTTTGAAGCCTCCTGCAATCCCACTTGATAATGTTCAAATTACTCCGTTAAATTTTCGATAGCACTGAGTTTAAGACTTCTTAAAAAATTTAAAACACAAATATTTTTCTCCTCCTTGAAATAAACTGGATTTCTTTCAAAAATGTAAATTTTAATTTAAAATAAGATTTGATATAGAAAGTAATCTTAATTTTCAACAGGAAAAATTTCAGTTAAAAAGATTATGAATTCCATTAAAAAGATTATGAATGGAGAAATATTTCAAACAATTCTTTCACATTTAACACTAAATTTCTTAAAGGATTTAAGTGTTTTTTAAAAAGTTTCTAGTTTAAAAATGTTTTAACTAATTTATTATTAGATTATTATAAGCAATATTTAAATTATTACCCTAAATTAATCACAAAGAATTCTTTTCAAACTGTATTATGTCAATCGCAGAATACATTATCCTCGATTTAGTTACCTTAAATACCATGTGAAGATATTATTAACTAAATTACTATCTGCTAAATAAAATATTTTTATGCTAAATTTTCCTAGAATAGAATAATGATTTGAAAAACAGTTTATGGTTTCTTTGCATTGATTTTAAAATCATTTATCTGGGTTTTGCTATGTGTGAAAACGCAATAAAAACCTAAATACACTACGCGAAAATGCAACTGCTTATTTCAAATGGAAAAGTACTGAAATAAACTCGTTTGCAAGTCCACTTGATAGTGTTCAAATAACTCCGTTAAATTTTCGATAACACTGAGTATTAAGACTTCTTAAAAGAATCTCTAAAACTTTCNTTCTATTAATAAAAATAAGCTTAAGTAATGAAGGATATTTTAAAAAGATAGGAAATAAATATGTAATGCCAAATTCTGGCATCACACACAAATATTTTTCTCCTCCTTGAAATAAACTGCATTTTTTTTCAAAAACGCAAATTTAAATTCAAAATAAGATTTGATATAGAAAGTAATCTTAATTGCCACCAGGAAAATTTTTCATAAAAAAATTATTGTGTTTCTTAATTTACTTTTATTATTTTTTCAGATTATTAAGCACAACTATCGCTATGTATAAAGTTTCAATAATAAGCCTATTCTTCATCTGTGCTGCAACTGTGAGTTCAGCCTGCAAAGTTGACTGTAGAACTGTTCGTTGCGCGGCTCCTATATGTGATCCAGGTTATGAATCATTTAAACCTCCTTGTGAATGCTGTAATAAGTGCAGAAAAATTAAAGGTAATTAGCAATAAAAATTTTTTATTCAAAATTAGATTTTTGATTAATTTACTTTCTAATATTCTTGCTTCATTAATTTTTAAGTCCTTGCTTTTTATATTCTTGTTCTAATATTGACCTTAATTTTTATTATTATGCAGGCCCACCGTGCAAAGCTGATTGTAGTACAGTTGATTGCGCATATGTTGAATGTGATCCAGGTTATGAATCGTATACACCTCCTTGTGAATGCTGTAATAAGTGCAGGAAAATAAAAAGTAAAAAATAATTCGAATATTTAATGTATAAATAGTTTTTCGTATTATTGAACTTTGTCGATCTGTTCCTTATAGATTTTAATTTCTTGATTTTTATATTTTTGTGTATTCCTTATTGTTTTATTACTTTCCAGATCCGCCCTGTAATGTTGACTGCAGAACCGTTCTTTGCGCTGCTGTTGAATGTGCTCCAGGTTATGAATCGTATACACCTCCTTGTGAATGCTGTAATAAGTGCAAGAAAATTAAAAGTAGAAAATTATTCTCATTTCTTATGTAAAAATAGATTTTTTTATTATTGACCTTTGTTTTTATATTCTTTTCTTATAAATTTTTACTTCCTGTCTTTTTTATATTCTTGTTTTAGAACTTTATCTAGTTTTCTTATTTTTATTGTTTTTCTTATTCTTCAGACCCACCCTGTGAAGTTGATTGTACAGAACCCTGCCCATTAATAAAATGTGCTCGAGGTTACACATCTGTAAAGCCTCCTTGTAAATGCTGCAATGAGTGCAAAAAAATAGAAAGTAATTAACTATTCTACATTTTTTCTCAATAAGATCTCAGTCTAGTGTTTTTTAAATTCTCGTTTTTCTCTTGTTATAGTGTTTTTTACTGGGTCTTGTCTTAATTTAGGAACTTGTAATTTTTTTTTTAAATTCACGCTTCATTTTAAATATTTATTATACTTTTTTAAATTCAATAGTAAAAATATGAAAAAAATTAAAAACAAAGCACGAATTGTTTTTAAAGTACATTCTGTTTAATATTGTTCTTAAAAATATTTCCTAAACTTTTGTTGGAATCACTTAACTAATAATATTTAATTGCATTGCGAAAAATTATGATAGAAAATACCTGTAATCAGGGTTCTTGTATTTTTTAGCGTTAAGTACACCTTGAAATTTTTTCCGCTTTACAGTAAGAGTTTAAGAAACTATTAGCAGATCAGTCATACTGTAGTTTTTGCAGTAATATTTACTGTAAAATTACCAAATAACTGTTATTATTACAGTAAAAATTGCGACTTAAAATTTTACTTTTAAAATTGATTTTACTCTTGCTGCACAGAAATCTCTTATAACATGCCTTTCTTTTCAAATAGCACCGCCAGGTTCAGAAGTGTGCGAAACCATCGATTGTAACGGAAATGAATGTCCAATAGTTGACTGCATTGAAGGTTATAAGCCAGTAAGGTCTGAGTGTGGTTGTTGCGATAAGTGTGTACCAATAAAAAGTAATTTTTCTCATTATACGGTACTAAGTTATGAACCAATTAGTATTCCGTGTTGCATTTTAAAAGATATGGACTGTTTTTTCCGCTGTAAGATATATTTTAATAACAAAAAATCTTTTATAAATAAACCCACGTAAAAGGGAGGGAACTATATGATTGATTAAAAACTTCTATTGTTTAAAAAAATATGGAGATAATAAAAATTATCATTAAATGGCATTGCCAAATTTATTTCTACCTCTGTCACATCAGCTCAGCTTGACGCTCTGAAATCTTGTTTCATTCATATGAATATTGATTCCCTTGTTAATGACAGAAGTTCCTCTACGCCTCTCCATAGCTTGCGGATATTCATTTGGCCTTAATTTGCAATTCTGATCCTTAGCAGTTTTAATAGTTTTGTTTTCTTTACATATTTTCTTTGTTTATTTTACATATTTCACTCTTGGTTACCGTGGCCTTTCAATTTTGTTTTTCAATTTTATTTTCTATTTTTCGTTGGCAACTTTAGCTTTTTGTTCCATATTAATTTTGACTTCCTCATTTACATCTTGTATGTCCTGAGAATAAGCAACTATTTTTGAGAGCTTCAAAATTTTTTTTACCATCGACATATATTTAAGCCAATTAAGTTTTAATCAAGAATGGCAAAACAGCAAGTTTTTAATCAACAGAATGTAAATGTCGTCCACAGTGCCAGAAAGAAGATACTATTTGGTGTAAATTCCATGAAAACTACCTAATTCATGTTATATTTTCTTCATATTTTGTATTGTTTAAGGCAATATTATGTGGTGCTAATATTTCACTATATACTAGCTCAGGATGCTTCAAAATTACAAACAAAAACATTTTGAAAATTTAATTCATTTGTAAACTTGGTAATAAGATATCGATATTTTAAATAAACAATTGCCCGATCGAAAGTAAGACAACTGCGGTAATCGCTGAAAAAACGTTTATTTACTACAGCATAGTCACAAATTTAGCGGGAGAAAAAGTGATTAGTGATTGGATTAATTTGAAATTCAAGTGTCATAATAATGCATTAAAAATATAGTTTTATTGGTAAAGCGATATGAAAAAGAAAATAAAAACGAAAAATAACTGACCAGAAAATGGCGTAATTGAACGATGACGTAATTGATCGTGAGCAAAGCACTCCAAAATTGTTATTTCTCAAATTCGAAACTGGGATGTCAGAACATAGCATAGAAAATCAAAATTTAAAACCCATGTGGATACGGATGAAAAATCAGTTAATACCTCCCAAAAAACAAGGCGGATTTACAACGGAATCTGTGAATTAAGTACTGCAAAAACTATTACTGACATCCGAAATTAAAGTGTCGTAATAACATTTTATTAAAAATATCGGAATCGTCCGTGTAAAAATGACGTAAAAACGAAAAATGTCTAAAATAACTACTTAGCAAACGTCATGGATTAACCATAGAATTAACGACGGAATAGTCGTGATTCACGCTCATCAAAAAGTATTTACTCATATCCGGCGTTACAATATTATATCATACTGCAAATACCGAAGTTTAAAAATTCATGTGCAGATCGTCGAAAAAAGGTTTGGGAAAACGATGATGGTTAACGTTTAAATCGTCGTTAATTACGAACGTCAAAAAGTCATATTCTATGTTGAACTTCACGTGTCGTTATAACATCATATTAAAATTATTCGGAATTTGAAAAATAACATGATAAAATGATCGAAAATCCAGACAATCTGAAGCTGCTACATCAAATTTCGCAACTTCGGTTTTCTGTTACTATCGTTTGGGTTTTTTTCACTACCAATTTGCTACTTTCTATTCGATGAAATTACCCCTAACACATATATTTAAGCATTATCTTTAAATTATACTCTTAAACTTTCATAATATGCCTTAATTTTCACGCATGGTAAACCCAAGTTCAGAAGTGCACGAAACTAATTCTGGTTGCTCAACTACACTGGTTATCATAAATTAAGGAAAATTCACAAAAATCGCGATAACTCAAGAAATTACACATGGAATTTTATGAAACTTACCCACAATATACAACACATAGTAAGGTATTAAACAACATAAAAAGAAATTATCAGACATTAATAGTAGTATAGAAATTAGCACATGTNGAGTATCAATTACTTATATTATTTTTTAAATAGTAGTAAAAACAATTTTGAATAGTAAGGTAAAAAAAATTTCCCATCACATTAAAGTGTGTAATTTTACAAGGCAAAATGCAAAGTTTGAGCGAAATCGGTTGAATAGTTTCTGAGAAATCGAATTTTAACTGCACTAATCTTTTCAAATTTGATTTCGAACTATTCGGAAGATTTAGTTCAAGTTTTGTTTTGTCGTGTAAAATTACATATTATGAAATAATGTAAAAAATTTTATAATTTATAATTAAAAATGTTTTTGACTATTACTAAAAAAATAACATAAAATAATAAGTATTTACAAAAATTTATTTCTTGCATTGAATTATCTTTAAAAAAAACACATTTCCCTGATTGTGATTATCCCCTGTGCTTTGGGGATCGGAAATCCAAATCCGTCGAAAAAAATGTATGTTTATTCATGGAAAGTATATTTCTGTGTCAGATTTAGTAACTTAAAACATCGTCTGCACTAATTAATTAGCATATTTGAGGTTGGAAAATTATGATTGTGGTACGGACTGCATAGATCCGATCATTAGATCAGAAGTTATTCAGGGTGATCCATTTGTTTTTGTTTCTTTTTCTTTTTGCATTTTACATAAAGGAATAAAAATAATTTATTTTACTTTTCTGCAGAAACAATTTCTGATAAAATGTGTTTTTTTTTTTAATTGCGAGAAAAAAGTAATAATTACACATTGTCTGAGAATAGTTTACAGGATGAATACGAAGCTACGTATTTTAAGAATGGTAGAATAAATGACATGGGTGTAAATGGCATAATATAGAATATTTATTTACTAAATACACAATCAATTAAGTTAGATGTTGGCAAAATTAAAAGGTGATGGAATGATAGAACCATTTAGAGAAGGACAAATAGACAGATAGTAATTAAAAAATTTCTTCTAACAATCGTTGACTCAACACCAATGTATTGAGGAAGTGTTCTCACGATTTAGATGAGTTAAGAATATCAGGTTTATTATTATTTTATAACTTTATTCAATATTAACGAATACACAAATGATTTTTAATTTAGTTATAGTCTATATCCTGTTGCAAGTTAAGAAAAAAACCATTATGCCTATGGAGAAGGCCTGTTTGCATTTATGTGCACGCCAAAAGGCCGCCAAGTTCCAAGCCCGAACGAATAGCAACATCGCCAACCCTTGAAACAAATTAGCACGACCTTCTTTTTGCTTATGAAAATAGTATTTCTGCATAACGAGTTTAACTTTTAAAAGCTTTTATATTGTTTTGAAAGCATAATTATATAATTTGATAGTTAAATGAAACGGAACTATATGAAGTGGCGGATGATTACTTGAATCCTTTACCGCAATCGTCTTTTCTTAACTTGCAACGGAGTATAATGTCGTTTGCAGAAAAGATTTTTAAATTTTTATTGTAATAGGTTATAATTAACATTTATTACCTAATAGTGATTACATGATATTGTGTCAAACGATACTCATTAAACGGTGCCTTGTTTCAAAAAGAAAAAAAAGGTATAAGAGAAATAAGTATATTTATTGTCCGCAGACTGCAAAAAGAAGCTAAACATAATCTCACGGAAAAAAATATTTCAAAATATGCACAATAAATCAACTACTTCTCGATATTAGAACTACCGAATGATTCTAATTTCGTAGTTTAAGAGTTTGTTGTTCAGAATTATTGAAGTTTGCACTAAAAAATTCTGGATTAAATTACAGTAAGAAGTACCAGCATTTAGTGTGTGGTGTTTCTTACATAACATTTATTTATTTAATACATTTCTACCGTAATATTATGCACACAGTATGTCATAGACTTTTGTAATAAAACCTTCTTTGAGTAAATATAGTTTATCTTTATTTATTTTAGCACTATAAATTAGCCTTTCTAATTGCAGTAGAATATTCCTTTCGGTTTTGTGCAAAATTCTTTAGTGTTTTTCAGTGCTGATAAATTGATTATTATTTTTTTTTGTCCTTTCCTTAAAAAGAACGGGAATTCAGCTTGTAAAAATACAAAAAAGAACTAAAGTGTCTTTCTTTAAAATTTATAGAAAGCTTAATTTGTTTTAATTTTTTAAGAAATTTTTTGACAAAAATCTACACAAATCATAAAAATTTTTAGTAATTTATAATTTATAAAAAAATTTTATAGTAATGAAGAAAAAATGTAATGCTTAAATGCAAAGAAAAAATGCATGAAATTTAAATTTAAATTATATAACTACCGATGTTTATAGAAATTTATCTCATATCCTTATCGCAACAGAAAATTATAAATTACTTTACGAATATTTTTAAATTTCAGTCGAATATCAAAACTCATTTTGTTAGTGTGTGTGTAGATTTACACGAAATAGTATTGACATTATACTTTTTTATCCTACCTATGTGTCGTATTAATAAGAATGTTACAATAGTTGAATTTCGTTGAAGATTAAAAAATGGAAATCCTATATTTTGGTGCATTCGTCTCTAATTAAATTCAGTATTCCTTTCAATCTTTCATTTCTTTTAGCCAGAAAATAATGTGGAAGGATCCAGTTTTTCCTCATTCAATTCCATATTATTTTGGTCATAAAACTAATAAAAGTTATAAGGCTATTGTTTTTTTATAAATATTTTTCTACCCCTAGTTTGAAGTTATTTCCCTGCACCGCTATTACCACGCTTTTAATCCAAGAGTTTAAAACTAAGAGAATTGTTGTTTTTTCTAAATGTGTCTAATTGTTTATCAGAGAATTGTTTTTCTGCCAAGAGAATTACGAAAAAATCATCAGGGTTAATGAGCGACAGTGAGCAGGGGGATTAGCCCCCTGATGAGTGAAACAAATTACAAATCCAATGAAATCACATATGACTGAATCGTTGCCAACTAAGGTAACGAAATACCAGCAATTTTGGTACCACGTAAAATGACGTAATACATGTAATTTTAGTTCATAGAATTAGCATTGATTGATTTCATTCATGTCACTTATATTATTCTTATAACTGATGTATTGTTTTCTTTCATGCATTTAATTTTCATCAAATGTTCCAACCACTCGCACAGAAGAATGCAATGTGAATTGCTCAAAAAAACACTGTCCACAAATAAGATGCAGGACAGGTTACAAGCTTGTAAAACCGAAATGCGCCTGCTGTGAAGAGTGTCAAAAAATTAAAGGTAATTATTCAATTCATTTAATTTTTTTAAAGAATGAAAAGAGATAACTTTTGCATGTTAAAAATATGATCAAAAATATCATAAATGAATAATGAAAACTCTAAAATTAATAGTGCGGCCCCCACAAAAACTTATATCGACTTGAAATTTAAAAATACCAAAAAATTATCACTATAAATATTCTTTATCACAATAAAATTTCTTTGAATACATAAACCTTTATGTAACGTCGGAAAAAGGCGAAATTTGTATTTTGCTGTGTTGCAACAGTAATCAGTCGTAAGCGAAAAATATATATAGGATGTCAGTAAAAATTGTGTTAAGTTTTCTGAAGATAAATTCAGACAAAAATAATATATTAATATGACTAGTAACTTTTTAACATATCAATATTCTTTTAACTTATTAAGTTTTATACATTTCTTATAAAAAGAAATAAGCTATCGGGAAAGAATTACAAAGCTCATTATGTTTCAGGGGAGTGACACTTTAACTACTAAAAATAAGTATCAGTACTGTTTCTATAAAGGTGCATATGAAATTAACAGAACATGATAGTGGTCAAAAATGTAGAATCGTCTCCTTCGAATATTTAAAAAAGATTTGCCTAAATTTTCAAAAATGCAACTGAATTAAATTCAATATCGAGGATTTATTTTCTCAACTAGCTTCTTAATTTGCAACAAAATATGTACACAAAATTGTACAAACATAATTAATATTTTATTTGCACGTTAAAATGCAAAATCATAAGTGAAAACATTTCCACTGTCATTTAATTGAATTAGTATTTATGTTCAGAGTAATTTTTTTGTATGAAAGGCCAAAAAATAGCATTATAGCTTCATTTTGCCGTTATTCATAATATCTTGAATCATGTAATATTTTTTCTTTTGTTTTATTAATTCTTGAAATGTATTTTCCCAATACTACAAGATACTTGTGGTAAAGATGAAGTTTATAATGATTGCGGATCTGCATGTCCCAAAACTTGTGCCAACTTGGGAAAAGATCAAGTCTGCACTAAGCAGTGCGTCGAAGGTTGTTTTTGTCAAGAAGGATTAGTTAGAAATGACAGCGGTAAATGTGTTCACCCAAATCAATGTCCAAAAAGTAAGAATTTTTTTTTTGTTTGAAATTTATAAATTGCTTTAGTGTATCATTTTATTTTTATTGTAGTGTAAGAGTTAACTATCTTTATAAATATAAGTTCCATGCAAACTCAGAAAAAGACTAATTTTGTTTTTGCTAGTGGCAACGTTATTGAAATTAACAATGAGTTTGTTGCAAGTAGCAAATATCTAAAGTATATTATTAACAATTGTGAAAAGCAATCTGGATATAAGTTTAAACTTAAAAAAATGACAATAAATAAAATAAACGAAAAATGGAAGTGACTTTCTTGTTTTTAATCGAGTATTTTTGTACATATTTTCTGAAAAAAAATATTCCATGGAAAGAGCTACCAAAATAATTACTGTTGGTGATGTAAGTGAATTTAACTTTTGAAAATGAATGCCAGACTGCACTGACGGGCATATGAAATAAAAAAGAATGATTGCCTGTTGTAAGAAAGCTGTTAAGAGTCCCGTCAATGCCGAGGACGCAGATGTATCTCACACTGAGCGTGTGTATTTTGAGACCATGTTGACATGGAGTATACAAAAATTGGAGCATATTTATGAATTTCGAAATTTAAAAAAGATCTGTTCAATTTTAAAACAATATATTAAATTTAATTGAATGTCGGGGGTTTACTCTTTCAGTAAGTATCTGATTTTTAAAATATTGCTGTAAAAAAAGTCAGAAAACTAATTTATATTTATTGCGTCTTGTTAAAATGCAAGATTATAATTGATAACATTTTCAATATTATTTAAATATGTGATTGTGGGTAGAGTAATATTTCTGTATAACAGAGCAGAAAATAGAAATTTATCTTATATTTAGCTTTATTTTTCCATTTTTTATATCATCTAAAATAATATGTTCTTTTGTTGTTGTTGTTATATTGATTTTCTTAACTTGTGTTCTCAGAACCATCAGACACTTGCGGGAAAAATGAAGTTTACAGTGAATGTGGCTCTACATGTCCTAAAACTTGCGCTAATTTAGGAAAAAATCAAGTCTGCTCTTTTCTATGCGTCAAGGGTTGTTTTTGTCGAGAAGGAATGGTTAGAAATGACAAGGGTGAATGTATACAACCAAGTCAATGTCCAAAAAGTAAGAGATATTTTTACAACTGCTTAAATTAATTTATTGTAACTGTAATATTTTTATAGAGATTTAAGAGAGCAAAAACAAAGGCTAACGGAAGCAAGAACAAAATATACTACAGTGTGATAGATTAAAAAAACCTTGATGGCACTCAGACGTAGTTTTCAGACGTAGTTTTTTGAGAAGAACTGCTTGAATCCGTCACTCAAAAAGTTCGGATAACCATTTTACGTTAACTGAATCTTCAATTTCACACTTGATACAGAAGTCTTAGCGGGTCGTTGAAAACTCTGCATTTGCGTAGCTTAAATCTAAACTAAACTACAACCTTGTTGAATTTTATTTGTTTAATTTAAAATAAATTTAAACTAAAATAAATTAATTAATTTTATTTTATTAATTTAAAATTAATTTAAAATGAATTAATTAATAATTTTTAATTCTTTATAGCACTAGATACGGAAAGGCTTGTCCTCTTTGCTTAGGATATGTATTAACATAATTATTCTTTAAATTAACATTTTGAAATCTTTGCCATTATTTTCGCGTTACTCGTATTAGTACATGAATGTACATTTTAAGTTTGGCTCTAGTAGAGAATGGAGTCCCCGTGCTTTGGAAATAATTTTCACTCAGTTTTGTTGAAATCCAATTTCTTGTCACCATGATATATATATATATATATGTGTTCACCCAAATC